TCTTTCCCTGCTTTATCCTTTAAGTCCTCTAGCCAACCTCAACAAAATTTGACAGCAGAACAGCGGTATTAGCAATATTCTTTAGGGAAATAAAATAGAGAAAGGTTTAGGCATGTAGGTTTCCAGGAGGAGAGGAAATGTATCAGTGCTTTCTTTAAAGGCAAGAGTGCATCAGCAGCTCAGCCTTTCTTAGACACCAGAGAATAAGTCCCTGCACTTATCCTTAAGATGCAGTTCTAGGAATACAGGCTTCATTGCTTTGGGACTGGCTTGGCACGAGCGAGCTTACTGCAGTGCTAACATCGAGGATGCATCTAGCCCATTAACTTCTGTGTGCTCACTAATCGACAGAACACACACAGATAATGTCCCTCATTATTTTTCTGCTTGGGAAAAAAGGCTCTACAACAATGCTCAGTGTCCTCTGAAGCTCATCCCTTTCCTGCTCTCCGCAGTCTCAGATCTTCACTCTTGAATTAGCTGGTTTTCTGTCTTTGCTACAGAAAAGTAATTCATAACTGCAGCACTTTTGGAATAGCATTTGGTGGTACCTCAGGCAGGTATTTTCTAAAGACAATCTGAATTAGATGGTCCACAGAACAGTACATTTGATCAGGTCCCTTTTTTTTCCCCCTCCTATTTGTGGAATACTTAGGAGATACTAAGGAACAAGTTATGACTAACCTGATTCCCCAAGAAAGTATGCGGAGATAGTTCAATAGTGCAATCTGATAAAGAAATCTGGACTCCATGTCATGAGTTATGAACTCAAACTCTCCCGATCGTACAAAATAATTCGTAGAAATAATGCTCTTTATATTCTTTGATAGCATCTTATTACTTGGAAAAAGTTACTACAAACTGTTAGACTCATGTACTAGAATACTTCAGCGCCCTTCACTGATTTTTATTTTTTTTAAATATGCTCTGATTAAAACAAAAATGAATCCAGAAAATCTTACAGTCTGTGTCACAAAATACTCAAAATTCAGAGTGGTCCTATCATACCTTGCAATTTTTGCATGTAATGAATATAAAGCATCTGCTAAATCGTGGGTGGATAGAAAGAAACTCAAGTCTGTTGAGATAATATCCGTATGTCTGATGCATACCTTGGGATGTATATGATAATAATTATCAGTGTGTTCAAAAAATGCAAAGGAACTGAATTCACATGATCTATATTTCTTTGGTTTGTGGTTTTTTTTAAAAATGCAGCCTATTTATGCACCTTTTCATGTTTATGGTCCCATATAGTGTAAGTTTATTTCCCTGCTAGTGAAGTGGCCAACTAATACTTATACTACAAAACTATTTCCAGAGATAAAAGCCACTGATTTATGCAAGTGGGTGGATTAGAGTTGATTTAACAGCTCTTATGCTGGTGCATACAAGAAAACTCATCATACAAATATAGTCTCACCATGGAAAATAAAAGAGCTGTGGTTGCAGTGAAATGTATGGAAAATGAGGGGAACAGAAAACTGGACTCCCTGTTTACCTTGAACTGTCGGCAGTGCGTGTTTATTTTTACAAAGCAAACCACCATTTTCTGAAGTCCTTTCTACAGTGCCAATGCGCACAGAAGTTAATGTTAGTTCAAAGCAGTCACGTTGATCTGTGTACAGATTTCTGTTTAAAACAAAAGGTCACAAACTCTCTGTTTCTCTTTTTCAGGCTTTAAACAGTTATAATCAAGGAGATATAGAAGGGTCAAAAAGACTGGGTCGGAATGCACTCTGGGTGGCTGTTGCATCTATTATCATTGGCCTTGTCATCATTGGAATCTATTGCGTGGTTCATTTCACAACGGTAAGCAAAATGCTACTAGTTCCAATGCAAGCAGTTCTGTGTGCATGGGCTTCAGAATGAGAAACTGAAGGTTCTCAGAACCGTCTACTACTGTTAAAATTTAGGGATGTGTGCATCTTTTCCAAAAGAGCAATTTTTACTTATTTTGCAATTTAGAAAATTCTGTTGTCTGTGGTTAAACGCAAACAGCTGTCTTAGCAGAGTGGATTTTCTAGAAGCTCTTGCAGCTTGCATGGGTTTTTACAATTTAGGCCAGTTGCTTTTTGTTTTTTCTGCCCCTCAGTTTCACCATCTGCAAGACCGAGTACATCGAGACCTTTAGATTTCAGCTAACAGAGTCCCTAGGTGCTAATTTTCAGTCTCATAATCTGGCCAACATATCTTTTTAACTTTGTAAGGAAAAGACGCCAGCCAATTAATATTTTACTGTTTGATATTAAGGTGGCCATAACTATATCAAAAGTGACCACAGATGTAATTTTGACTTGGCTTGCTGTGGGAGAAGGTCATTCACTCTCACTGCTTCGTATGCTTGGCACAATAGTGAAGCAACTTGAGAAATGAATCTGTATACACACAGTGGTTACCAGATGAATTAAAAGCTTATTTGGAAAAGGGGACAAAAAGTAATTAGACTCTTGATATCCTTTCTTAACGTTGTGCAACAGTATGTTCCTTTTTCCATGGTAATGTACACTTCCCATTAAAATAATCAATTTAAATCCATTTATTATTGGCTGTTTTGGTTGGAGAGCCTTTCAGTGCACTGTATAAACCTGTCTATAAACTGTAAACAGAGATCACCTCATCCTCCACTGAAATGCAAAGATCTTGGCAGAGTGGAACAGAGTAGCTGGTTAAACACCTACCACATTTTCAGACTAAAGCTTGAAGTATGCCATATGAACTGCAGGGAAGTTAGTGGAGATGAGCCCGTTTCTGTAGGGTATTAGTGGATGGTGCTGCAGAATCAGAAGCTTACTGTGTATTCATTAGTTTCCCATGCATTTTGCAAGCATGAATCTCTTTGGTTCAGCTCGTGTTCAGTTTGTTCAGCCCTCACAGATATAAGACCAAGTCACTTCAGGCTGAGTGTGCCAAGTTTTGTAATTGACAGCAGCAGTAAATTCCTCTGTTCGCTTCTACCACCTTACTCATCATTTCTCAGACGAGGATAGCAGCTCAGTATTTTTTTTTTTAGGTAGGAGGAGAGAAGGACAGCATGAGGAGTGGTAGACAACACTGACCTGAGGCAGTCACATTAACCAGGGCACACTGCCTACATTTATTTGTAGTCAACATTTCACTTCCACTGCAGAGGGCCCTCTGTGCTGAATGTGCGAGTGCTCCTTCGTGCCCACTGCCACATACGAGTGATAGCATTTTACATCTAGCTAGTATTTGTAAGCACCTCTCTCTCTCCTGCCCTCAAAGAAGTAAGCAGCAGTAAGTCACTGTAATAGGACTTTGTTATTTTTTCTTAAGTTTTGTCTTTTGAGGATTTTTTTAAATTGGTTTCTGTTAGATGGAAGCATTGCAGGTGCCTAGGAACCTTCACCATGCTGCTGGGATATTAATTTCTGTATTAAGTGAATAGTTTCCATAGAAGTCTCTTGGCCAAACGGTACCTTGAGGTTTGTAAGGACTCAAGGTTTACTGAATTCACCCTGCTTTCTGCCTTTCCATTCTCTTTACTACTCCCCTTCTCCCTCTTGCCTGTACTTTCCAAAGAGCCCTTGTTTCTGATAGTGTTTGATGGGAGCAATAATCTTCTTTAGTCTTCTGATGTGAAAATAAGTGAACAGGAGCACCCAACTTCCACCCTCCATGCCTACCTGAGCTGCCTTTGTTAAGGGACAGACCACTCGAGCACACATATATCATCCTAGGAGTCGAACAAAACACCCTCCAAGTCTTTCCTGCTCGGACCAGAGTCTCTTCACAGTGGGTGACTCCAGTGAGTCGATGGGTGCCCCTTTCGACTCCTTTTCACATTCTCACTCTCAAGTGCTTATTTTTCCTTCAGGTTTGGCCCTAGGTTTCCCATAGCAGAGTCTCAGGTATCAAGTCTTAAATTAAAAAAAATCATTTGTTCAGATGGTGCAGCTGAAGAAACCATCTTGAGCTGAGTGCCTCCAAAGAGGGACCCTGAACAAAGAAATCCCTGGGCAATTATACCCTTACAGTCTAAGTTTTTCACCTCTCATGCAGCAGTTGGGACCAATAGTAATATTAGGATCTGGGGTCTTCCCATTCCTTATTGAGTCCCTTCATTGTCTCTACGCAGGCCATTTTCTTCTTATCTCTGAGGTTGTGGCTTCCTTATTTTCCAGCTTGAACTGGCTCTGGTGCCTTCTTCTACTTTACTAGGTAGAACTTTAGCAAATTTAGCTACTAATGCTGCTAAGCAAGATAGCTACTAATGCTAAACAAGGCTATAAATCCTAACTGTACCCCTGTACATTTATATTTTATACTAAACTGTCTTTGAGTTTGACGTGCCACTGGTGTGGATGGCATTGCATGCTTCACGCAGTCATCTCACATCCATTTGAACCCTGGTCATGATTATTTACTAACAGTCACTTTGCACCCTGCTCAAGTGATGCGATTGTGAATTACTTCTATGCTAACTTTAATATATATGCTACTGTATTATTAAGGTAGTAAAAACCAGCCTTAATAGAATAACATGACAGTCAGCCCTGTAACTGATTCATTTGATTACTATTAGGCACAGATATGATGTTTCCATGACCTACATATGCATTTTTTCTGAAAGTTAATTTAGACTTCAGCCATAACTTGACCCTTCCAGAACTGATTACTGTGTTTTATCCACATGAAATTGGTCAGCTACCATACTATCCAGTTGCTCCTGCTGGCGTTCCTTGTGGCTTCTTTTGGTCTTCAAAAGATAACAAGTCTCATTGCAAATTACCATTGGGCATACTCCCTTGTATTCTCCTTCCAGATTCTTATGTATCTCTTCCTAGAGCTTGTCGTTCACCATCCTACCATCCCATTTCTAATCTCTGTTCTTCATCTATTCTCCTGTGACTGCTAGAGCTTCTCACAGAGGATGTTACTTGAGGATTCATAAACCCTTTGATAAATTTCACTAGCTCATTCTGATTTATCTGTGGTTCTGCTGACAGTATCGACGATGCAAGGTGTAATGGGTTTGAGGGCTCGATGAGTCTCGAGAGTTTTCCCATGACATCCCAGGTCTGAGTGCCTGGAAAGCAACAAACCTGAGACATCCAAGTCAGGCTGGCTGTACCTGTCCTGAAAATGCAGATCTGTAGACCAAGAAGGAATCTTCCTCCTTCTGCCTGAAGTCACAAACCTCAGGCCTTGCCTTCCCCATCATGGAAGTCTCCATTCAGCTCTTGTTGAAGTGTAGTCTTTAGTTGTTTGCAATTTGTGGAGCTCAGGCTCTCTCCTCTGCAGAGTCTCTGTGAAGACTGTTGGTCTCCTGATTGTGCATCCTGATAGTCGCCTCCTCCTGAAGCCCTTTTCCCTGGGGACTCAGTGCTTCAGTCAGACTACTGCTCCCACCAGAGAGGCCACAGCCCCCGAGACAGGCAGCAGTCACTCCCTGCAGCTGCAACCTGGACAGCTACATCCGCCTCTGGAAACTCCATGTGGGTCAAGGCATATGATATGCCAGGCAGTTGCTCCAGCAGTTTCGGGAATGGTGCCCTGTGGCTTATCACCACCACTGCTGTGCAGCCCCAAGCAGTTGTTTGCTGTCTTCAGCAGAGTTTCTGGGTCTTCTTCTGTGCAAACTCACAACTTAATTGCTAAAAACACGCTTTGCCACTTTTGAGTATATCTAACTGAAACCACTGCGAATTGAGAACTCAGATACTGTGCCATCTCTGGACCCAGATTCCTTCAGCATTCACTGGAAAGTAATTTCCTCTCTATGAATGGTATTTCTAGAATTCAGTTCAATGAGGTCAGTGCTTAACTTGCTCAATTTCAGTAGCCTCTGAGTATCAAAACCCACATACTCTATTAAAAATTCCAACCTAAGTTATCCATTTGTTCCCACATCTCTCTTGGCTTTTCAGTACCCAAACCTACTCTGCAATCCATCTTGCTTAGGAAAGGCATTAAGTTCTGTGCTTTAAGTGGAGCTGAGGGTTCCCATGGTATTCCACATGCCTCAGCCAAAAGACAAACATCTAGTCAGGGGTGTTGAGGGTAGAAATGGTAGAAGTTGCAGAGAGGAAGTAGCGCAAGAAATACTTGCTTTGAACAAGCAGTGACATTGTACCCCCAATAACACCCCCACTGTCCCCCCAGTAATACTGGTAGACTCAGGAAGAGGAAGACTTTTTCACTTTTCAGAAAATTCCTACCTCTGAGCCCCGAGCTTCCTTGGATGCCACCTTTGGTTTATTCAGTTGCAGAGCAACAGTAGCACAGGAGTAACAGCAGGCGACACCTACGTCTGCATGGAAGAAGCAGCCTTGACTTTTCATTTTGAAGATAGAGTCAGTGCTAAGCCAACTCAGGGCTTCTACTGCTGCCTTGGAGAGCCTCATTTGTCTTTAACACTGACATGTTATCTTTAGCAGACATATATTAAGATACATAGTGATACATATATATATATAGCCTGAAACATGGCCCACCCACCACTTGAGAACCATCTACCTTCTGCAGTCATGACCCTGAATGTAGACAAGGGGAAGCTGTCACTTGCATCTCTGAAGTTAACAGCCCAGCGATAAAACTTGTCTGTCTTGATCAATGTAAACCGGTGTGTTCCTCATTACGCTGAGGAATCACTCACTGTTAAGCTGCGGTGTGTGCTGAATCAGGGCTGTCCCTCATTCCACACTAGGCTAAATTTATTCTTACTTCATTCTGTAACTTTTTACCCTCTGCTGTCAGCTTCTCCTGTGCTTCCACCTTGCCAGTCCTGAATGTTGAATTACACTTCCACTGCTTGCTCAGATGTAACTTAAACCCGTATTTGTGTCACC